TTGGAATTAGATTTTAAAATGATATTGTGTAGTTCAGTAGAACATATGCAAGAAAACTGCATATGCAAACACGTTCCTGAACATTAACGTTTAAGTTTAGATTGATATAGAAATTTTTGCTTTCATTCAAGAAAAAAAGAGTTCCTGAATTAATTTTTCCTTGTAGTATAAAAACCTCATCTCTTTATCAGTGCACATGCCAAATTTATGAATAGATGGTCAAATGTATTAGCAATGGCGATAGTCAGAGACATTTTTTATAAAGGTAGATGTATAGTTACATTTGATCTGTGTAAATACGTCCCAGAGAGTGTAAAAAAGTGTAACGAGTTAAGTCTGTATTGAGTAGAAAATATTTTTTTCTGTTGAACTAATATATACTACTTTTATATACAAATAGCCTTTTCAAAAATAGATATTTTCTTAAGTATTCTTCAGGCTCAAAACAAATAAGCTTTTCAACACATATAACCAAATTTCAATACAACTATTTAGATATTGTGAAAAAAAAAACACATTTACTATGTTGCTACTTCAAAGAAAATGTGTCTGAAATTGAGCAATGTCAAAACTAAGAAGCTTTATGAAGAATGCAATAATTCTTATTTTTGCAACAGGGGTGCATTTGCAAAAATGGGCAAATAAGTTGAAATTATCCTATCAAGCTGAAATTTTTGAAATAGCCTGATTTTTATGCTAACCTCGTGATTACTTTTTTATGGTTATGTTTTATTTATGAAATTAAAAATTGATGTCAAAGTTAGTAAAACTAATGATAAAAAAATTCCGTATGACGAGGTAACACTGGTGACGCGGTATACAGAATATTTCAATTAAGTTGATTTCAAGTTCTTGTGAAGCCAAAAGTAATACAAACTGCAAACGAAATACCTAACTTGAATGATTTATAGTTGAAAATTCATGCAGAAAAAGTTTCATAAATGTATGTATATTTCAAAGCAAAGTGACATGCACCATACTATATAGGTAAAAAATGAAAATTACCATATTTTCGAATTGTTAATTTTGAATGAACATGTATAATCATTATTACAAAATTTATAATATTGAATAATCTGAATTGTTTTTATAGTCTCTATTTTATAAATGACAATATGTAACATATTTATATCAATTTCCATTCTTTTCACATTTTGAATCATATATCATTTATTATGTTCTCAACATAAAATAAATATATTACACCACCTGCAAAAGTTAGTGAAATGATTTTACTATACACTGAACAGCAAGATTAATGTACCACTAGAACTTTTCAATAAATATTTATTTTTATGAGGAAATAAATAAATATTTTTGGGTCTTAATGAACCGGGATTTAAGTGAGTGAGCCTCTAAACAAAAAACAATTGAAGTTGAAAAGGAAAAAAATGAGAAAAAATATGAGCAAAACTAGAATAAAAAATTGTAAATCATTGTAAAATGTTCAGGAACAGGTATTTACACCTCTATTGTGAATAACACACCGACATGTCTTATATTTTCATTATTTAAAAAGTTCCATATTTCAATGAAAACTCTTACAAGCTGGTTCAATTTATTGGGATGGTTCAGATGTTGAAATAAACATCAATAAACGTCGATAAAGCATGTCTCAAACATTCTGCTAAATAATCTTGAACAATCCAAGCCACATGAGGGTTGAGAATTATTCTGCTTAGGCAAGAACCGATTCTCCTTCATACAATGTGATGTTCAAGAAGTTGCATTCAGCTTTAATCTCATTTAGTCATGGATGCACTCGTAGTCATATATCTGAATTTAATAAACAAAACTTGGACTCATATGACCAAAGAACTCAATCCCAGGTTTGAACAAGCTAATTGATATATTCTTGTAAATAGTTTATCTTCGCCCTACAGTGCTCTGGGGTTGAAGCGTTCTCTCAGAAGGCTATTCTTCCTGGTATCAGATTATCTTCAGCAAGGCGCTGACGAATGGAATACGTATAAATTTTGATTCAATGTGCTTGCTGTAACTGTGTTTGAAGCAACCTTGCTGCTACAAACCAATGTCTCAACGCAGAAAGTCTTGAATAACAGAACTGACCAATCTGACCAAAGTTCTTATTCACAGTCTTGATCAAGACAATCAAAACGTTCTCTTGCAAAGTTCAACCTTGCTGTACAGTTATCTGTAGTAGAATTATTCTCTCGATGACTATTATATTATTCTAGGTGTCAGGTTATCTTCAAGTCGTCGATAAATGGAATAAAAAGAAATTTTCATTCTGCTTTTGTAGCTATGTTTGTAGCAACCTAGCTGTTACAAACTGTAGTCTCAACATATTCTGACTAAAGAACTTCTTCTCAGTCTTGATCAAGCCATCGATATGTTCTCTTGATAAATAAAATCTGTAATTAGATGATGTTTGAATCTAGTATTGTAATCATGTTCTAGTGTTTTGAAAAGTTCATTATTTTGCAAAGTTTAATCTTGCTTTAACATTAACATTAATTTTATTCATCGTGAAATCCATATAATTAAAATTACATAAATTTATCAGACTAGTCAAACAGTTTAAAATACAAAGAGTGCACTTCAAGATAATTCGAGACTTACACTATACTTACACTAATACATTCAATCTACATTACATCTAAAATTTAAAAAATCATTTATGTCATAAAAAGCATGACTTGCTAAAAATGTTTTAAGTTTGTTCTTAAAGTTTAAAATGTTTTTTTACTCTAGAGTTTTGTCTGTATCCAATATGTCACCGAACTTGTTATAGCATTCAACTCCTATGTGTTTGGGAGCATGTTGTGCAATTTCTGAGCGTGAAAAAGGTTGGTGAATGTTTAATTTGTTTCGTGTATTATAAGAGTGTAAATCAGCGTTTTTTTTAATGTTTGATTATGGTTCTTTGGGATCAAAGCATTCCCTCTGATGGCTATTCTTTCAAATGTCTGGTTATCTGTAGCAGGGCGTTATAGAATGGAATATGTTAAAATTTGGATTCCATGTAATTTGCTGTAGCTGCGTATGTAGCAACCTGGATGTTACAAACCACTGTCACAACTCATAAAGTCTTCAATAACAGTTCTGAACCACAGTCGTCATACAATTGCTGGGCTGACCAAGACATTTAAGTGTTCAACGGTCTTTGTATATCTGTGAATATATAAAACCGTTTGTTCTATTTTTTACTTGTATCTGATTTCACTGTAATTTCATTACAGGTGATGAAATCCATCATGAAACATTGTCAATCACCTTCAAACAAACGTTGAACACCCGGTACTGACCCCTAACCAGCGATTTATTCTGAGGATATGAGAAGACTATCAAGCTTACCGAGTAAGAAACTCACCTCAGTTTTTTGTGCAGAGCGAGAGACAACAACATCATTGCCAAAGGTTTTCTGCTGAAATCACCAATCCCAGGAGAGAGCCAAACGCATAGTGGAACGCACCAGCCGAGCAATGATAAGGTCTCAAATTAATTATCATTGTTGGAAGAGATCAACTTTGTTGCACGATGCCACGGAACGATTTAAAGTAATGAGAAGAGACATTGGAAGAGGATCATGGACCAATCTTTGCCAAGACTGAAAGCACGTGCTTGACAACACATGTAGAATACCCACAAAAAAAGTGGGGAAAGTTAGTGAGGAAACAATACCCAAATGCAGACCGAAAACAGGACAACTATGAAGTCGCCAACGTCATCAACATGAGTTCCCACCCGCTCACGGACATAGAGGAATCCTTGTTGACAAAGGGTTTAAACTTCACCATTACCCCAACATCTGTGCCCACTTTGGAGATAATTACTGCAGTGAAATCCACGAGTTCCTTATTGACCAGACCAAGACAGAAGAATTCAGATGGAAAATCAGAGAACAGCTGGATCAAGAACCAGTTCCAACATCTTACATCAGCAATGAAGAACGTAGAGTTCTGAACGGCCTACTTAGAGATAATACCATCAAGATCCTACCTGCAGATAAAGGAAACGCTACTGTGGTAATGGATACCGTTCTCTACGAACAGAAGATCGTAGAGGTTCTGCAGAAGGGACAATACACAAAGATTGTACGGGACTCTACTGCATCAATTGAAAGGAAGTTGTACCAGGCTTTGAAAAAACACCAAGTCTTTTTTTCGGAAAGGGAGATATCAATGCTAACACCGCACCACAGTAAGCCCCCTCACTTGTATGGACTACCCAAAATCAACAAGAAGGGTGTTACGCTCAGACCGATCTTCAGCTCCAGAGATTCGGCTACTCAAAAGTTGTCTAGATATTTCCCATAATACAACCATTATAAGATAAAAAAATCATTTTTTGTGAAGAATACAAAGCATTTTGTCGAACTACTAGGGGCAATGGAAGTAACAGAGCAAGATCAACTAATCAGTTGCGACATGGAAAGCCTTTACACCAACGTTTTGGTCGAAGAAGCACTCCAAATCATACAGAATAAGCTATCCAAAGACAGGGACCTGGAATATAGAATGAATTTACCTATAGAAGTAATTATGGAATCACTAGGATGCTGTGCACGGAACTGTTATTTTCAACTGAAGGACGAATTCTTTACACAAGATGAGGGAATGCCAATGGGATCGCCAATTTCACCAGTTATAGCCAACATATATATATGGAGTGGTTTGGAACACATAAAAGCAAATGTTCATTGCAAATGACAAATTTGAAAAACAGTACCTAAATATCCTTTACATTTTACCAAAAAAGCAACAATAAGAAAGAAACACTTCAGGAAAAAACATTACTGTACAATGTCATTTAAGAATAATTGTAAATACATTTTACAATGTCTATAAATTTGTGAACACAATTCAGTCAAGTGATGCATTATTTTTGCTGATCAGTGTGTTATATATAAATCTTTAGTATTTTTTATTAATTCATCATGCATGAATGTATAGTTCGATTAAAATAATTCATGGAATGAGTGAGAGGTTACATTATCAATATTTTAGTCACATGAAATAACAAATAACACTTCTTACATTCAACATCTCGTCGCTGGTTGAAGTTCGTAAAAGAAATTCTTTTTTCCTTGTTAACCCTCTGTGGAAGATGCGCCTCTTGATTGAATCTCCAAAACTCCTGTTTTTAGGATTCCCACTTTTCATGACCTGCAAAGGAGTTCCATAACCATTCTCTCTGTTGAATTGTTTAACCAACTTTCTCTTCTTGGACGATTCTGGTAAGCTCTGAATATGTGCGTAAAGTTGTGCTAGAGCTGTTTCGGTGGGGTTTGACTCGTTTTCCTTGGCTGTTCTTTCGTGATCTACAAAGGTGAACACGGTGCTTGCAGCATCCGTTACTGATTCATTCAACCTTTTGGTTGGTGAAACAATTCGTTTCTTCTCATACTTTGCCTTGAAGTCCATAATCAATTTGTTGGGAATCTTGAACAACTCCGGTGATTTTTTAATCATAAAACTAATGATGCCAAATAGAGCTTGTGAGTCTTTCAATAAAGTTTCTGGAGGAAGTTTTCTTGGGCACAGTAAATGAGGAGTGAACAGTTTTGCCAAGTTGTCAGGAGACATTTTATTAAAACTTTCAAAAGATGCCGTTGTGTGCAATAACTCCAAAATATCTTTCAACAGCACTTTGTTTTCTGTTGGAAGAAGTAAGAGGAGAAGCTGCAAAGCTTCTAATAGCTTTCCTTCTTGAATTTTTTGTTCAGTAATTCCACAAGATTCTGTAAATACAAAAATTTAAATTCAAAGCTTTCAAAACTCACCAACACTGAACCACCTGCTATTTGCCAATATACTGGAAAATGTCCTTCAGTTAATAAAGGATCCGGTAACTCGGATAAAAAACTTTTGAGAACTGAAGCACAATCGTGAACATTATATGTTCCCTCTTCTAACATTAAGGTGACCCCACGATTCAACAGATTTCTGAGATCATGTTGCCTCTCCAAAGATCCAGTTCGCCTAAATATACCTTCACTTTTCATATCTAAAAAAAACATATATGATATACTTTTTATAACAGCTCATTTATACATTACTCTCTTCCTTTTTAAGAAATTCAATGAGTTGGTAAACTTGACAAATCCCTTCTTGCGTCAATGGGGCTCCTTCCATAACCCCTCTGAATTTTGCTTTCTTGAAAAACGGTGCAAGATTCCATTTTTTAAGTTTTCCTTTTTCAGAAAAACACTCTCGTCTGGAACAAAAACTCTCAATTAAAAACAGATTCATAAAAGTACTAATAATTTGCAGGGTTTCAATTACTATATATTTGGGGGATTTATTAAAAAAACTCTACAATATCAACAATTTCATTTTCCGTTAACTAGTTTAGTGATCCAATAATTTTGCTGAAAAAAGGTTGTTTGGGTAACAGGATCAATTTTTTCTTAAAAAAAAAACAATTTTTTTCTTGCCGACGATTTTAATTAAATTCTTCTTCCAGCCCTGAAGATCATATCAGAAGGATAGTGGATGGAACCAATTAATATATAATTTTCATCTAGTAACATTTATTTAAAAAAATTGAAATCTGAATAATTTTCTTACTGAAATACATTTCTTATAATCGAAACCAGAGCCCAAAAATGAAACATTTGTTATCTAACACCAAAAGTGCTTATGAATGGTACTAGACTGAACCACGCTGCTGGACTTAACTGTCCTCTAAAACAAGCCTAACTAGGTGTCTCTCCTCATGAAGACACCAACTGTGTGATAAACAGAATACTCAATTCATAAATATCAATAATTAACAGGGCTCCCAGGCAGCCTGTTACCAAGCCAAGTTACAATATCAGATGACTTGCAGGTAAAACTGTAGAGAAAGACAAAAGACATTTTGTAATATCCAAGTTTAACTTTGCAATGGCTGTGCTTCATTGATATGGATATCGATCCCAAAGATGGTGCATTCGTAAAGGGACATATCATAGCCTTTTCTTACTCAGATTCCTGTAAATTCAAGGTGAAAAAAAATAATGAACCGTTCAAATCCAAATTGCCATTTCTCAGTTAAATAGAAATGAAGTACATATTATTACATAGTTAATTTATCTATGACAGTTCTGGACATATGAGTGTACTTATATGACGACAAAGTATATTCAAGAAAAAATACGTATTAAAAAAATGAATCATGTGTTGCAGTTGTTATTTGTGTTATTTGAATACGTTATGGATTTTCATCAAGTATCAGCCAACAAAGTATATTCTAGAAAAAATATGTATTAAAAAAATGAATCATGTGTTGCAGTTGTTATTTGTGTTATTTGAATACGTTATGGATTTTCATCAAGTATCGGCCAACAAAGTATATTCTAGAAAAAATACGTATTAAAAAAATGAATCATGTGTTGCAGTTGTTATTTGTGTTATTTGAATACGTTATAGATTTTCATCAAGTATCAGCCAATTACACCACAATAATTACATCCTATAACAATTTTCACAATGGAAATTCAGTGTCACTTGCACTTGGGCCAGTTAATAAATCAACGACAGATTACTCGTTTAATCAAATATTTATGTTCAATATTACTACTAGTTTCCACTTACTCATCAGTATTAATATCCAATAGAAAAGATAGGTGCATGCGAACCAGAATATGAAATTGTTCTGTATAATCTCTTTTGAATCTTTCGGCAACACTTTCATCCGTTTCCTTATTTACCGAACACATCATAAACGGAGAAATGAACACCTCAAAAATGTTTAATTTTATTTTCCATTAATAAAAATTTAAAAATAAACAAAAGTAACGGATAACCTACAAAATTTGAAAAGTAAAAAGAGCATAAAAGTAACGACACTTTTACATTCTTCTTCTTATTTTTACTACATGAACGAACTCTCTAAATTTTTTCTCAGAACCGAGGGGAACAAAAAATTTCTACCGATGATGGCACTACACAATCGATAAAGAGCTGATCAGAATGATGATGGGGAATATAGGTTATGGAATTTTTTTTGTTATTTGTTGTTTTGAGTTGTTCAATTGGAAATTAGAACAAATCCAGGTTCTAATTCTAATATTTCTGAATGTATCTGAACGATGAATCTTCATAAACGGATTTCCACAAGGTAGCGATGCAAAACTGTAGAAAAATAAAGGGAATGTCAAGGAAACATGTAATATTTGTTAAAGGTACAAAGTTTTTTGCTGAAATATTCTCCTCATGAATGAGATTACCTTTGGTATCGGCAAATAATAATGTGGATGAATAGGGTTAAGTGTGCAATTATGAAGCAAGTCGGTTAGGTTTCTAAAACCTACCACTGCATTTCTCAGTATACCACGAAACTTGTCAAACGTCTTTTCTCATAATAAATAGCAGCTTCCATGAATAGTTTATTCACGGATGTTCAGGGTACATCAAAAAATTAATTTAAATTATGTTTTCGGGAGGTTACTCGTTGTTCAAAAATAGCACTAAAATAATCTCATGTTGTATGTGTATTAGACTAAATTCAAAGTCAAAGAAATTGTTTGAATAGGTTGAGAAGCCAATTTGATTTAGCAATTTTAGCTCTAAAACAGGTGTATGTTTTATTTTGTTGTGGATCACTTGGTGCCTTTTCATAAATTTTTTTATCGGAAAATAATAAGACCCACACCTTACTCTACTGAAATTTCAGTCGACCTATACATCTAAACTATTACTACCGCTTACAGAGTAAAGTGAAATTACGTAAGACTTTTATTTGCTCCCAACTTAGTGGCTTCGACAAGATTAATTTTTGGTGAATTTTATTATGTTGGTTGAGTTTTGGAAATATTACGTTGCGAAATTTTTCGAAAATTAAGACCAATCCCTAGGTGCATTTTGATTCTTAAAAGTTACGTATTCAATATACGAGGATACTTTTTTTAAGACTCCATTTTGGTATTAACAAGATGGACTCAGTAAACAGAATGAATGAAATTTACTTATACTTATAATATTTGTATTGTCGATCCAGCACATAGGAAGTATGGTATAGCTGACGTAATTCTACCCCTGTGCGAAGTTTGTTCAACGAACTCGGGTTTACATCTCCTCTATTCCTAAGATGAAAACAATAGGGATACCGGTTTGTTTTTGATTTCTGCAGAATTGGCGGATTCTTCTTCATTGACGGTAGGTTCTTCTTTTGTAAAGCTTCCAGGTTATGAGGGCTATAAGCTCAGAGTAATAAAAAATATACCTACTCTGAGGCTGTAAGGAGAATTACTGAAAGGGTTATGAGTATGCTTGCAAACTGAGTATTACAGGGTGGATGCTTTTGAAGTCCCAGATTTGAAAAATTTTTGCATCGTCTTGAAGTTCATGGATTCTCCTCAGGTCGATTGATTGCAAGAGAATCGGATTGGATTCCAATTCTTCTGGGCTGATTGTATTCATTCCGATTTCCGGAATGGTTAGTGGTGGCATCTTGAAATTTCTTTCTTGTTCCATAACTTGAAGTCTCCGATGGTGACTCCGTATTTGAGTAGAACTTTGTTGATATTTGTAGGAAATCGAACTGTAAACTCTACTAAACTTCAAATATACTGGGCTCTCCAATCAAGATGAATTCGTCATTTTGGCATGTTTCCAAAACTTCCAACCGTTTTTCAAAGGGGATTACTAAAACGTGTTGGTCGGAGATATTTTCTATGATTGGGTTGGCAAAGTGAACTCCTGTAGTGTGGCAATTCAGATTGTTGACTACTTTGTGGTTCCAAATGATCATGACAGATATACGTATCTTCGATTTATAGGACACATCTCATTCTCATAATGTTGTTGAGTTTCTCTCCAAGTATAGGGAGAGAAAAAATTGGAAATTGTTTAGAAAATATGTTTGTTTTATGAAAATGTTACCTGTGTACCAATCAATTGATAATGTCAAATATGGAAAATGTAATGAAATAATTCAAATCCATTCGAGCAAATACATGAATTGAAAGATGTTCCAACCTCAACTTCAATATTCTAAAACAAAAACACTCAGTATTCACAATTCCATTTTTCAATATATCAAGTTCATTGACATCAAAATTGATACTATTACTGGATATATAAATATAAAACAATCTCCAAATACGCAAACTTGCACGGATGCGCATTAAGTATTTTGCCTTAGTACGGTGACCGGAGCAACCTCATCATATGAATCTTTATAAATATTTAGGGAGGTCAAGATCATCAACGAGTATTGAGAAATTCATTCAATATTCAGAAACGGTTCCAGAGTATTTTTAGAATACAGCACATCACCTTTTCATCGATCCTGCTGGGTAGCAGTAGGAATATATTGTAAGTTTTTGGTGATTCTTTGTATTTTTCTCTTAACTATCCAATGTTAATTCATTCCTGTGCGTATTTTTCTCATTTTTTTATAATAAATATTTCATTCATTCATTCAAGTTTTCAAATGAGTTCTTTCATTATTTGGATAAATGAGGGTCGGGTGAAACATCGAAAAATCCTCTCGAAATAAGCAAAGCAAGTACCTACTGAGTTGCGACAATAATAATACAAGGTATAATTTTACAATCGAGGAATCCTGTCTTTATTATATAATGTAGGTAAATATTTTATCACTCTTTCTTTCTAACTCCCTAGTTGAAATCACAATGCTGTCGTGACAAACTGACAGTTTGAATAGAGCCTTAAAGATGAAAGCTCGACCAGCTACCGAAAGCGCTCGCATATAATAAATAAAAGTTATAAAACTTCAAATCCTTTTTGTAACATATATGAATATTAAAAAATGCCACGCTTTTTCAGTAATTAGCCCACACTGTGGCATCTTAAATCGGTTTGTTGAAAAAAGTCATTTTTAATATCGTCAAGGGGAAACGCCACTGTGAAGGAACAAAAATAGTTTTTTTTTTCAATTTTCTCAAAGTATATAGGTAAGTAGTTCAAAACTATGCAAAAATTTTCACTCAAAATCTTAAAAATTGTACTGAGATACACGTAAAAAGAGGGGTATGGCGGGTATTTTGGACCGTCGGAATATAAAACAATTGTTTTGAAAAAATTAGACTGTAAGAAAAAAATATATAAAAAAACATTTTAGGTAGGCCTAAACACCTACCGGAGAATTATATATAGCGCCGTTTTTTTTTGTTAATATCGATAAATTGAAGAAATTTTGTGAAAGAAATTGTTTTTGACACTTCCGGATTTTCGAGAAATTTCAATTGATTATTCTGCAATTGCGTCCTGCGCACCACCGGAAAGAACATCATTTTCCTTTCACTTTTTGCGTATATGAATCCCATCGACATAACCTTATGAATTCCCCTAAAGGCGCCATACTGTAAGAAATGACTTACAAAATCTTCCACCATATCCCGGTCTAATGAAAGTGTGGAATAACGGATGTAATTCTATCCTGTGCGAAGTTCGGTCAGCGAAATCGGATTCATTACTTATAGAAGAACTGTGAAGTTTCAGTCTTTGTCTTTCTAGAAAGTCAAGGATTTACACCAATAGATCCATTTCACGCCAGAGGTTTCAATTCTACCAATGAAATTATTATATAATGTTCAATGCGTGTTTATAATCAAACAATGGTAATGAAATATGTTTCAAATTGACCAATGAGAAAATCCAACACATTAGACATCGCTCAACAGATTTTTTTCTAATGAAGGGACACTACACTTACACTGCAGATATTATGTTTATCGAGTATTTTTCCGAAGATGCATAGAAACCCTGGTGTTTGAAAGTATTCGCTTTTGTTTTGTCAAAATCTCTCGACAGGTGAGGTGAGATTGAGCCAACAGTCTATCATTTCGTATAAGTAATGTCATGTCATTTTTCGTATTCTTTTGAGCAAATCTTTCATTTGATACCCATATCTCGACCAGATATCAATAGCATTTACAACATTTCAGTACCCGATTCTTCCATTTTTCTAAAACCATAAATGCGTCCTGTGTTACCAAGTTTTTTACAGCCTGGTTTTCGCATTTTTAATCAGTTGATGGTAATCAAATATTTTTCAAATGGACCAATGGAGTGATTTCCCGCTGAATGCGCACTGCACATCACTGAATAAACTCACTTGATTTATTCTGTTTATTTTCATTTCTCAAGATTAAGCTGTATCATAGAATAAGTCACAAAAGAAACACTTATCTGGCGGCACGGATGAAGTTTCTGTTACATATATCCTATGTTGGAGGAGTGTTGTGTAATTTTATGTAATAAATTCTAATTGTTTGAAACTTATCGGATATATAATTCAATTTCAGCTGATAAATAATAACGACGTCATCTCAACAGGTTGTTAATCTAACATGTGATCCAAACTTGCTTTACATTCACTAACAACTTCACAAAATTATTAGATTGACAGTGATTTCCTCCAAGACTGTCATCTGTGAAAAAAGTTCATGGTTACTGTAACATGCTTAGCGTCTCTTCTGTAATATATTCTGTGTTCAAACAGGCGAGTTCTCAAATTGATTGATATCTCATATCTCCAATCCTGACTCTTTGATGTCTTTTGTTCAGTTTGCTTTCAAAGCCACCTCTCTTATGCCTACTTTTTCAATTTTTTCTATTACCAGGATATGACTGACCGTATCGAAGGTTTTGACAAAGTCAGTAGATATACAACAGGGATTCTGGAACAGAACTGTCTTATCAGTGTTATCGGTGGCGTTATCGCTGTTTGAGAGATAAAGAGTCAAGCGTACTTGGAACTACAGGGTGTAGTTCCAAATCACATCAATTAAATGGTATACGAGGTGTGTGCACTGTTACAGGAAAAAAACATGGCTGCTAACTATGGAAAAATGGTTTA